CACGCACACACACACACACACACACACTCACAAGAAGATAGCTTCATCCTCCCCGTTATTTGCGGCTCTAAGATTGAGTTCTATTCAACGCAGCAAGTCCAGGATCAATCCAATATGAGAGACCGGTTGTAATCTGCGATTTGGCTGCTCATTTACATAAATTTCCCTGAGTGGTGGTCAGGTTTGGTCGGGTGTATAAAAAAGGAGAATTTCAGCGTCAGTGAGGGATGGTCGTCCAACACATTTTTTCATGACTTCTCCACGCTCTTCTTTTATCGCCCAAGAGAACAGCATTTCTTTTGTTCGTCAAGGCCTTTGGGAATTATCATAATTGAAAGGATGTGGTCTTGCAACATCACAAGGAGCACTCTGATTTCACATGAAAAATCGCAATCCGATGTCCAGGGTGCCCGTCTTCCCTTCACCTCTTGTAGTCTTTCTTTTTTTTCTAAGTAAGCTAATGTAATGTCCCTCCCTCCCTCTCCACTTTTTCAGTGTGTATCTTTTTTCCCCTTTGTCCATATTTTGGTGTTGGATATTAGAAGGTTACATAGAAAATGTACAAAACATGAGAGTAAATATTATGTTTCCGGAAAAAATACCACACACACACACACACACACACACACACACATACACATACACACACACACATATACACACACACACAAAACAAAACAAAACAAGATGAAACAACGCAAAACAAAGCAAAATGAAATCAAGCAAAACATAACTAAACTAAACTTTAAAAAAGCACCCACCCCCAAAACCAACATCAAAACACTTTTTTAAAACCTCCTAAAAACCAAGCAAACTGTATGTAAATACTTAATGATCGTCTTGCTCAGATAAAGCAAGGTTTGAACGTAAGTCGTTATGAGAATCCTCAACGTTTTATAAAGGTTTCAATTTTTTATTTATCATTATCAAACGGCTTTGTTTTCGCCTGTTCAAAATTATTTCAACAAACAGCCCTCTCCTGTGACTTCCCTAAGGCATCCTTTTGAAGAAAAATTATGTTTATCTAACACGAACATGTTCTTTCGAAGCTTCGCTCTGATGTATTTTCAAAAACACGTTCTTTTTTTCTTTCTAATATTTCTTTCCTTTCAGACATCTCCTGTTTTGCACTTGCTGGAAATATTCGGCTATCACTCATTCTGCTTCACTGTACAAATCAGTTTCTTTGGCTATCTATCGCCAATCTGCATGTTCAATTATTTTCTGCGCATTTCTTTATTTTGCCATGAGCCACACCTTCAGTATTGCGAAAAGGAGGAGAGAGAGCAAGAGAGGGAGAGGGAGAGGAGAGAGAGAGAAGGAGAGAGAGAGAGAGAAGGAGAAGGAGAAGGAGAAGGAGAAGGAGA